AAATGTCCTTTTATCACTTCAACTGATCTGTCCTTTTTCCTGAAGATTTCTAACTGAGCCTTGGGTCAGTCCTATGTTCCTGTATATAAAACATTTAATGGTAGTGTACTGTGTGCATGATCAAGTGAAGCAGGATTCTGGATATAACAAGGACAGAAACCAAATATCTCCTATTTCACAAAACATTTTCATAACTCTGAGGAAAAGCATTACAACGACAGCTATTATGTAATCTAAACCTGTACCACCTAGTCTTTAAGATTCTTCAAACCCTATCTAACGAAGACAAAGTTAGCACTATGTTATTGCAGCACTCTAGTAATTTATTATCAACTGACATTTGCCAACATCCATAACAAATATAGATTTCTATTCCATCAGAATGTTAAAACTCATATAATAGTAAAATGTCTTCAATTTATTTTTATTTTATTTATTGATATCCCATCTTTATAATTTTTATAAATTTACCCAAGAAGGTGAACATATCCAACACACCTTCCTCCTATTTTCTCCACAACAACAACCTTGTGAGGTGGGTTTGGCTGAGAGAGAGTGAGGGGCCCAAAGTCACCTAGCTGGCTTTCATGGCTAAGGCAGGACTTGAACTCACACTCTCCTGCTTTCAAGCCTGTGCCTTAATCACTAGACCAAACTGGCTACTGGTTACTTAGAAAATGCTGCCTGTAAACTAAGGGATTGTATTATTGAACAACTTCATTTGAAACTTGAAAAGATATTAGATATTGTAGTGTATTGATTGATTATAATCTGCTAATGCATTCCATAACCATAATTCTGGTGGTTCCACCAGAAGATTTGCAAGATTGGTATATTTTATTCTCCTGTGTTCATGGCACTCAGAACACTATTTAATTTTATATTCTCTTCTGGTGGTTCAGTATTCTAGTGCAGAATTAAGAGAACATTTATTTTAATTATTAAAGATTCATTCAGTGGTTGTAACTTTCCTCTGCCTTGTCCTGTATGCTAAGTGCTGCGAGGATACTCTGTGCATCTTATTATAAGGATTCTGGTTCCTTTCTTAAATTTTATGTCAGATTTATTTTTTTATACTCAGTTTCAAAACCATTTCTAGATTGCAGTTCTAGATCACCATATCCAAAATGTGGGTTTCTCTTTACATAAAGTGTTTACATCTTTCAGATTTAAAGGATTTCTTAAATCAGAACAGACTTGTAGTAATGCCAAAGGAGCAAGAGAAAACACAGTTTGATAGCATGCACAAGAGAAAGGGGATGAAGATTGGGAACTCTTAGGAAGTTCATATCCAGTGACATAACCAGGTCTCAAGAGACTTCCAGAACATTGTCAGGATTCTTGTTCCTATGTAGTCTCTTACCCAGCACACACAAGCTGGTTCTATATCTTTACAGCATCTTATTGTGTATCTAAGAATCTATCCAGAATTTTTTTTCCTTACATATGAGCATTTCAAAGAGGGGTCTACATCTACAAATACAAAGTATATGATAACAGTATTTTGAAAAAAACCTAATTATTTGAAAAAAAAAAAGATTCTTTGTATGTGATTTGTGATTGGTTTTAAAAACAAAATCCAAGTATTATGTTTTCTTGTTTTTATGACAGGAGAAAAGCAAAGCTATAAATGTGAAAAAAATGTTTTTATTTTCCAATTCAAAGTATTACTTTATCAAAATGGTTGATCTGGAAAATCTTAATTACATTTTATAAAATGTCCAGCTGTATTATGAAATGGGACTGGCAAAGTGTTTACTAATGTGAATTTAAACCACAAGAGCTGCTTAGATTCAGTTGGCACTATTATATTCAATTTCTAATATTCCTGTTGTTGTTGTTGTTGTTGTTAGAAATACATATCTTAATAAACAAGCTCATTACTTCCAGGAAAGAGCATTTCCAAACAAATATTATTTTGTGAGTTATAAGTGGAATGACTAAGTCGATTGGACAACACTTTTGGCTTCTTACCTGCAGATTTTGGAGCAAAGCAAGGAAAATGTTTGCCAGAACACTCTCCCAAGATTTTGTATTGGGAATTTTTTTACATGTTAGTTTTATTTAATATATATTTATTGTAACTAGTAACCATTAACTTATATTCAGAAATATTCCATTTTCAACAGAAAAGTATATTACATTTCTATTCAAATAATTTTTTACTTGAGAGCTACCAGAGTCAGTTATAAGATTGGCAGCTATATAAATGTGTCAAATAAAAAAATAAAGAAACACTTTTCTAATCTCTTAGCACTGCCAGTTGTTATTTTTCCAATTATAAAACTAGTATTTTCCTACTTTTCCTCTACAGTGGCTCTATCTGTCCTTTGCCTATTAGAGCAAAAACAAAATGATCACTTGGTTTCTTAAGGCAGTCTTTCCCAACTTGGTTCCTTCCAGATATATTAAGATAGGGCTTCTGAACCGGTGGTATGTGTACCACTAGTGGTACTTTGGCACGTGGCAGGTGGTATGCAACACTCCTAGATAAGTATAGCAGGGGAGGGAAATGAGCTGAAGCAACCCAAGCCTGAGGGACAGGCAGCTGGAGCTGCAGGACTGTTAGGGCTTGGCAGAAGCTCCAGGAGTGCCAGCAGGGCTCCAGCTGATTTGCGCTTCTGGAAGCAGCACGGAGCTGGAGGTGAACTGAAGAAAAGGGGGGGTGAGGAGAGAATATAAAAGGAAGTGGTTTTGGTGGGAAAGAGAAAAAACAACAGGGAAAGAGAAGGGGATAGAGAAGAAGCTGTGGAAGGAGAGCTCAGCAGGTAGGGAGGAAACAGGGACAGAGAAGAAGCAGCAACTGTTGTTGGAAAAAAGGTCCCCTGGTTAGTTTTCTCCAGCCAGGAAAAGCAATCAGCACTGATGAAATGAAAAGCCGGGAGACCAGCATGTCGGAAAGGAGGTGGGTTTATTTTGGAAGCCAGTAGTTCCTGATCAGCTGGCAGCTTGAATGGATTACCATAAGGATTTTTATACAGTTTTTACAGTGTTTTGTAATTCAGAGGCTCCGTTTGGAATATAATAGTCTGTTTCACAAAGGCTAGCAATGAATCCAAAATTTTGGCTTCTATACGTTTAATCCCTTTAAACAAATGTAATTAGTTTTACCCCCTTATCTTGAATCTGTCTATAGCTTTTAGCAAGTTTTCTTTGTAGGTAAACAGGCTTAATTTAAAGCTATAACTTTTCGCACTTGCTGGAGCCTGGTTGCTACATTGTTAAACTGAGACACGCCTGAGGCAGCTTAAAGAACACCCCCCCCCCAAATTCAGTGTTTCTTTATTCTGGGAGGTTTTTTTGAGCCTTTCTTGCTTTGCACTTGATTCCTGTTTCTTTAAGGGTAAAGTGAAGGGACTGGGGTGGGGGTATATTCTTACTACACTGTGGAAGGAGAGCTCAGAAGGCAGGGAGGAAGAAGAGGAGAGGGAGAGAGGAAGAAGGGCTGACCAGCCAGCTGGTAGTGGTGCATATTAATAAACATGGATAAATTCATCATACATTTGTCAGCGCATAGGGAAAATGATTCAGCAAAGGAACCGCCACCAAAGAAATTAAAACTGGTACTTTTTTTCTTTTTTTCTACAGTTTGTAAAATTTTATTAGATTATAGAATAAAATACAAAAATACAAAAGCAAACAGTAGAACACATTGGGGAGGAAAAGGGGAAAAAAAGTAAGGGGGAGAAGGGAAAAAGAACAGATTTCTTCTATTGCCGTAGAAAGAAGCATTAACTTTGAACCTTAACTTTTTACTTTTCCATAATATTATAAACTAGCCATTTCTATAACAGCAAATGAATCTAATCAGTAAAACCCAAAATCTTTTTTTAGTCATCAAGTTTTTGACAACCTGCTAAGCACTGGTGGTACTCAAATATTGTCATGTCCTAAAAGTGGTACAATCTGTGAAAAGGTTGAAAAGCCCTGTATTAAGACACTTCCAGGTGACCAATTTTTCTATCTTCTTAGTCTTCACATTCCAGTATAAAAGGTACTTGAAATTAATCCAGACTGTTACAACTGCTGGGAAATCAATTTCCCATCTCACCATCCTGACCACAATTCTGAAGTTGGTTTCTTTTGAATAGAAAGAATGGCTGCAAATTTACCAAAATGCAAAACAGCAGGCTCCTTCCTTCCTTCCTTCCTTCCTTCCTTCCTTCCTTCCTTCCTTCCTTCCATCCATCCATCCATCCTCCCTCCCTCCCTCCTCCTTCCTTCCTTCCTTCCTTCCTTCCTTCCTTCCTTCCTTCCTTCCTTCCTTCCTTCCTTTCTTTCTTTCTTTCTTTCTTTCTTTCTTTCTTTCTTTCCAGTTTTAAAGAGTGAAACAGTTTTGAAACAGATTTTAACCACCCACAGAAGCCACGGAGGTGTATTGCAAAGCAAAATCCTGGTCATGATATCGTTTATTCACTGAAATTCATTTGCCACCAAAACTAGAGCTATAAGCTTCTTCTAGTAAGCAGTCATCACTCACCTGTGATGAATGGCTGGACAATGTTAGAAGTAACATCACCTGTAAGCTATCAGGTTGGAATATTTTTTTCTTATGAAAAATAAGTCGTACTTCCATCAAGTGTTTCTTGGTTATAATCCACTTGTCAGTCAAATCTTGCCTCTCTGGATATTTAACCCGTTAGTCAGGAATAGGTTTATTGGGCAAAATGCCCTCAGATACAACTCAGTATGATTCATTTTTTATTGCAGACAAGAATGATGGCATATACAGAAGACTGTCTATAAAAATCAAAGCCCTTATATAGGCCTGTGATGCAGAGTTTAAACTTTAGGGATTTTCTTTCTATCTAGTCAATGGGTACTTGATATTCTTTTGATGGGCTTGGAAGACACTTGGTCTATATTGATATATAGTTCTCTGTTGCCTAGGAATTCTGGTTCTTGCCTTGTCAGGTTCATTCCTTAAAAAACAAGCAAAAAAAAGCATCTCATAGTCAAAGTTTCAGAATTATAATTTTAACTGTTTCTTTACCTTTCAGGCTACATGCAAAAAAGCTGAGATAATCATGGCTTTCCTTGCTTTGGCAGTTCAACGGTAAGTGTTACAGATAAATATTCTGCATTTTCCATTTCTGAGATGTATGTTTATTTATAATCTTAAAATGCACAACAATGAACATATATAAAGTGCAGTTAATGGGAGACAATAAGGACAAAATATGCATTAAGGAAAAACTGTCTGCTCAAAATGATTACTCTTACAAAATTGCAAATAGAAAGGCAATCAAGGAGGAGAAATCTACATAAAAATATGAATGGATTTTCATATAGAATGTTCTTTGCTAAATTAAAAACCCTGTTGCTGAAATTGGAAATCAAACTCCTGCTCATTTAAAAGGGAAGTTGACCAAAAGCATAATTGAGCTGATAACCCATCCATACTGCTTAGTTTAGTATTTTATACCCTGATAACTAATGTCTTCCTAGGATTCAGACAGAATCTTTTCTGAGTTGTATCTGGAGATGCCTGGGACTCTACTTGGCATTCTTTATATGAAGCATCCTCTCTGCTCCTCAAACGACCCTCTTCCAAAGTTTGATGCATTTCCTTCAAATAGATAATTGCACTGGATATTAATTCTCAATTCTTGCTTTATAGGCTGCAGCTCATTTTTAATTCCTTAGGTCAGGGGTGTCAAACTCAATTTCTTTGAGGTCCGCATCAGCATTGCGGTTGCCCTTGGGGGGGGGACTGGGGGTGTGTGGCCAGGGTGGGTATGGCCTACTGGGTGGGCATGGTTGGAGTGGGTGTGGCCTACTGGGTGGGCATGGCCAGCTCTACATCACTCGCATCAAGGGTGCCTGTGGGGGCCTGGGCAGGAGTGGGACAGATCTGAGGGTCTCTGGCAGAAAGGGGTGGGACCAGGGCAGAGCCCATCAAGCCGGATAGGTGAAGAAGGCAAGGGCCATTTGCTGGCCACTTTCAGGCGATGGTTCATTTCTTCATTCCTCACAAAGAGTGACACCTCCCCAGCATGCATCCAGGGGGTGGGGCCGATGCAGCTGGGGCTGGTTCCTTGCTGTTTCCAGATGGCCTTGTGGAACTAAGACTGAATGCATTTCAGCATAGATGGCCACCACAAAATTGTACATTGGCTCCCGGCTGGCTTGGGCCAGGGCCAAGGCAGTGGGGGCCGTTCCCTCACTGTTTCCAGGATGGCTTCGCGGGCCACATGAAACCACTTCGCGGGCTGTATCCAGCCCCAGGCCTTGTGTTTGACATGTCTGCATTAGGTTTTTCTTTCAAAGTATGGCAATTCATTTATTGCATGTACAGTATATCCCACTGCAATCTGGCCCCTCTTGGCTCAAATGGTTATTGCGTCTAGTGCCCATTATTGCGTCTAGTGCCTTTGCTGCCAAAACTACAAATTATAATTGGCGCCTAGATAACAAACAAACAAAACAGAAGAAATCAACCCCGTGCAATAAAATCTAATATTTTATAACAGAGATATAATAACAGACAATAAATTGTTTGGAAATGAAAGTGTAGATGAATGGCTTTTCTTTTTAAAATACTGGACTAATTGCATATGATTTTATTCAGAATGAAAAGTGTACATTTCCAGAGGGAAAAAGAAAATCTGTGAAAGGTTATATTAGAAAGTAGAACAATACTGTTGGCATCTATATTAATCACTCACAAGCATCACACACAACCCCTTTTGTGTAAGTAGTATAATAAGGAAAACAAAGGCATTATTTGCTAGCTGGGTGAAGAAAAATGAATGAAATGTATAAGCAGCATCAAAATTGGGCTATCTGGGGAAAGAGATGCATTCTGTATATTAAAAAATCTTGGTAACAGCAGTTCGAATAATAGGAATTCCATTATGTATGCTGAGCTTATGAACACATAATTTCATTATACTTCCAATGTTTAGCCCTACAACCTGATTGCAAGGAACAATGAGATCACTGAGCTCTCTTGTAAAATCTCATTTACTCTTGAAATTCCTTGGTATGGACAAAGAAAAGAAAAGAAAAGAAAAGAAAGAAAAAGAAAAGCCTGATTATTCCACTATGATAGTGAAACCACTTACTATCAAATCGGTGGTTTGATGAGAAAACATTTCTGTATAATGGGAATTAAGCGCAAGTGGAATGCTGATATTTTCTTCTCTTGTAAAAAAGTTATCTGGTGAAGTGGCTGTTTCTTATCTTTTGAACCCTCTGTCTAGGTCAGGCTACTATCTCTTTAGGGACCTCCCTGGATTCCTTTTTTGAAGAGCAATATAAAAATAATTTCAAGATTATTCAGTCACTCGTTCAGCCCATTTAGTCAGTCGTTATTCAATCAGACTTTTAATGGATGAGCTAGTTTGTTGGGTGGGTATGTTTTGTTTCACTGATACATTTCAGTGTTTTAATGCATTTTATAAAATGTTACTTTTATTGTTGAGTGCTTTTTGTGTCAGTCACCAGGGGAAAGATGAGTTGCCCATTAAATAACCAGATAATATATCTTAGTGATGGAGGGCAATTACAATCTCTCTCTTCCTCTGAACTTTATTTTTTTTTAAAGTTAAATCATATTGGCTGAAAGTGATTTTTTTAAAAAAGCAGACAAATATTTAATGTCTATGACGGTGCTTATTTTTATTTGGTTATGGAATAGCTTTGTATATATGTTTTATAAAAATGTGCATTTCTTTATGGAAAGCTGTAAAGAGCTGACTCTTTCCCCAAGCGCTGTGATAATATGAAGTTGGAGTTGGAAGACAAAACCGTTGGCTGCATCAAGGAAGTTGGATTGTGGTGCCACTTTATTTGTTTCTATTTTATTTTTGGCTTTCATTTTCTGTATGATGTCAGTTTTATATGATTGTAGGGTTGTGTTGTGGTTCTAAGATGGGCTGCTGTACAAGTCTGGTAAACAAATAGATCCCAATAGATTGCCTGTAATACTAGGAACTTGCTTTAAAAAGCTGTAACATTTAATGTTTAAGGAGCAAACTAACATTGCTGGCTGACCCTTTTGTACTATTTTTTAAGCACAAAATTTTGCAAAACTAGTTGACATATAGTATTTCCTGTGGAACTGAAACTTATCCACGAATTATCTCCTTTTGCTACATAGAACACTCTGAATCTTTACTGATTTGGAAGGCAATATTTTGACATTCAATAGATGATACATGCAACAAAGATGGGTCTAGGTAAGACCGGGTAATAAAGATAAAAAGTCAGTTTAGAAATTAAATGAGATACTCGGGAAAATGAAATTCTTCAACTGACACCTAACATAAAAGGTGCGGTAAGAAAGATATTTCAGAAAAATACTAACACTGAAAACATCAACAAGGAACAAACAGAAGCGTCTCATTATTTAATTAGCCTAATTTGAGCTGCAGAGTGGAATCAGCCCAGTTCAAAATATGTGGCTATTTGTGAGCTGACAGAAACTTGGAGGAAAATATAGGGCTAGTCAGCCATTTGTCCAAAATGGTGTAGTGTTTCCTGCCTGAGCAGAGGGTTGGACTGGATGACCTCCAAGGTCCCTTCCAACTTTATTATTATTATTATTATTATTATTGTTATTGTTATTATTATTATTATGATTATCATTATCATTATCATTATCATCATCATCATCATCATCATCATTATTATCATTATCATGGACCATCGCACAGTCAGCCAGATGTTCAGACTGGATTTGGCATTTTGTCTACCTATTGAGTCCTTACCCAGGACCTGGGATAGGCAGATGTAGATGTTTGATGGTATTACAGGTATCGTCGCAGGATGGAAGCAGTTCCTAGTAATTGCAATTGACTAATAGCAAATTTGTCAATGCCAATGGTGTTCAAGCGGTGCTCCAGTTCTTTTGGGATTGCACCCAAGGAGCCTATTACTATTGGTACTACCCTTGCTTGCTTTTGCCACAGTCTTTCTATTTCTATTTGTAGGTCTTTGTATTTTGTTATCTTCTCCAGTTCTTTCTCTTCTATTCTGCTGTCTCCAGGCACTGCCACGTCCACTATCCAGACTTTTTTGTCTTTCTTATCGACAATTGTTAAGTCTGGGGTGTTATGTTGCAGGTGCTTGTCTGTTTGAATTTTGAAGTCCCAGTGCAGTTTAATTTTATCATTTTCTATGACTTTTTGTATTTTATGATCCCACCAGTTTTTGCTTACAGGCAAATGATATTTTTTGCAGATCTTCCAATACACCATTGTTGCTACTTTGTCATGCCGCTGCTTGTAGTCAGTCTGTGCAATCTTCTTGCAACAGCTTACCAGGTGGTCCACTGTTTCTTCAGCTTCTTTGCATAGGCGGCACTTACTGTCTGATCATCATCATCATCATCATCATCATCATCATCATCATTATTATTATTATTATTATTATAATATTCAGATTTCCTCCTTCTCTATGTAGTGCACTAAACTTACTATAATCTTTCCTCCCTTTGTCCTACTGTTTTTCCTTCCTTTGTTAGTTTCAAAGTTTGGACAAAGCTGTGAATCTGCTTGAGGTCAACTCATGCATATTTATAGCCTCAAATAGTTTTCCAGTTTGCTTGAAAGATAATTTATCTATATAAGAAAGCTGTTTATATATAATGTCCCATGCATTAGTATCTGTTTGACCTCTGGCACTAAGAACAGTGTCTTAGAATGGCTTTTGTTGTTGTTGTTGTTGTTGTTGTTATTGTTATTATTATTATTATTATTATTAATATTATTATTATTGGATTAATGCATCACTGTATTGAAGCATGTGTATATTTGTATGACATCTAAGTGGATCAGTTACTGTAATATGCCAATTACTGTAGATATAAACGATTCAAAGTTATCAGCCTTGGGAAGTATTTAAGGAAAAAGTTAGCATCATTAAGAAAAATATGTACTAAGAACTCCTATTTTGTGTACAGAAGATTGCCAATGGGATTTATGTTACATCAGCATGATGTATTTCATTTTTAAAACCCTTATTTGTACTACTTTAAACTTTTTAGCTGGAACTCCAATTTCCAGAAGACTTTTAATTTTATGTAAAAAGCAGAATCCAGAGATAGCCAAA